AGAAGCGGCCCGCAGAACCGGTAGAGGACGCCGCAGAAGCGGACCTTGTGCGAAGGATCGTGCACCGCAGATGCGGTCAAGGTTCCTCAGAAGCGGGACCGCATCTGCGGAAGTGGTTATCGCAGAGGCGAAAAAGGGGGCAACCTGGGCGAACTGCAGAAGCGGAATTTTTGACCGCAGGAGCGGAACCGCTGATGCGGTTTGGCCTCCGCAGAAGCGAAAATCGCTGAAGCAGTAAGGTTAATTTAAATCGTGGTTTTGGTTCATTTCTTTCATTTCTCATGGCTTGGGGCGATTTGGGGAGCTCCAAAGAGTGGAACTTCGTCATCTATGTTGAGGTAAGTTATCCCCATCACTTTTGAGTTAAATATATCAATTATGTTTGGAATTAAGCATGAAGATTAGTGTAAATTTGGGGGTTTTGGTGGAAAAACCTAGAAAATTATAATCTTGGATTTTAGCCACGAATTTGAGTATGGAACTAGGAGAAAATTATATATTTGAGTTCCTAAGGTCATGGGTAACCTTTATCTTCAAAAATTTCGGATTCCGGGCACGTGGGCCCGAGGGCATTTTGGTCATTTCACTAGGCGGAATTGGGAATTGTATAATTTGAATTTGTTATTGAGTATTTGAGTGTATTCTCATTAGCTTGTCGTTAATTGGCTAGTTTTGGTGCATTGTGCGTTGGTTCAAGGCTTCGGAGGAACGTAGAATGCCGGTTATGGATCTTCGGAGCGAGGTGAGTCTCCTTTCTAATCTTGTGAGGGGGAATTTACCCCATAGGTGAAGTAATTGATTATGTGCTCCTATTTGTGGGGGCTACGTACGCACGAGGTGACGAGAGTCCGTGCGTAGCTACTATTATGCTATTGTCCGGGTAGTCTAGGACTCGAAGGCATGTTATATTTGGATTACTGTGAACTCATTGATAGTTTGAATTGTTTAGATCACCTTGAACTGGTAAAGGAAATTTTAAAAGAGATTTAATAGTAATTTTCCCTGAAATGTTAAAAAGAGAAAAGTTGTTTATTTGGAGGATTATCCTCAATGAGCTCTTAATTTCCTACTTGAGCATGTACTTTACGTGTGCCTGCATCGCATGGACGATTCGCGAGCAGGATATGTGTTTATTTATGGAACGGGCCGAACGCCTCGGTGAAAATAGATGCATCTATGATTCGTGCCGCTCGACCCTCGGCAGTGCACAGTTTACATTTCTGTTGGAGCGGGCCGTCGCCTCGGTGTGATTTGCGCATGTTTATTTGTTACTTGAAAATGGTAAGCGTGGAATTGTCCCTACATGGCTTAATATGAACTGATAAGATAATAAAGAATAGACTTTGGAAGCCCCCGATTTAATGATTGAAGGTGTTTACCTGTTTATTTGGTCTCACAGTTAGGACTTCTATATAAATTCATGATTATTCTCACACTTATAGAATATTGTTAATGGACCTCTAGTGAGTGTCGAAGTTGGCCATCTTGTCCCTACCCCTTCGGGATTAGGCGGGATACTCACTGAGTACACGTTGATTACGTACTCATACTACACTTCTGTGCATTTTTGTTGCACAGGTATATCTTGCATTAGACGGCAGCACGGATGATTTGGGGACTAGGTGAGCTGTATTGTTCGAGACGACCCGCAGCTAGCGTAGTTCCCTTCTAATATGTCATTTATTTATACTCTGTCCACTGTATTTCGGACAGACATTGTATTTTATTTTCCTTATCAGTAGTGGCTCATGCACTTGTGACACTGGGTTCTGGGATGGTTTTCTTTGAAAGGTGTGTATTAATAATTATTTCTTCCTTTGAGTTTAACAGAGATTGTTTTACGTATGAAAAATGGAGGTAAAACTCTTAGATTTTTTTTTTTATTTATTAAAAGAGAACTTAATGGATGAGTTAGTTGGCTTGCCTGACAACGGTGTCCGGCGCCATCGCGACCCGTAGTGGATTTGGATCGTGACAATAGATGTAGAACAAAGAAGGGCATAGATAGAAAAATTCACTCACTCTCAACAAAGAAGTACCTCAAGCTACTGGAAATTGCCATATGCTTGACTATCATGTGGTTCTCCACTAATGTAGGAGTCTTTGAGTCGAGATCATGTAGGACTTTTGCAAGGTTGTAATGTAGGTTTAGGGATAGGTATGATACATATGGATAATAGTGACTTAAATTCCCTATGGGCATTACACTTTATTTTATCACTTAAGCACAATTGTCTTTGCTATGATTTAAACAATAACCTCTATTTTGTTTCATCCCTTTCACATTTTTTTTACGGAGATGCCGACATTTCTTTGTTGCTATCCTCTCCCTTCTTTCTTTTTTTTTTCTTTTTTTTTAAAGAATTTCAGAAGCAACTATCTTTTTCAGTTCTCATGGCAACATCTCAAAAGATTTACAACCTCAAACAATTATTCTTTCACCAATTATGTTCACAATTACACCTCATGCCTAGATTTTTACATTCAGATCAACTCTTAAAGTGCCCAAAAGGGAATTGGGTAAACAAAGAACAAGTCATAACAACAAACAGGCTAAGGGTTAAAGCTTGGTGATCAACAAATTAAGAGATAATTTATGTAGGCTCAACTGGGCTAACTAGGGATAAAAATCATTAAGGTAGGTCAATTTAGGTTATGGCTCAATAAAGAAGGCACACGTTCATTTCTTAACTCAAAGATTTACCTAGAATTTTGCCTCAATCCACATTCAAGGCAAGTTCTAGATTTCCAGATAAGCAGGAGAACTAGACAATATAAGCTAACAACACAATACACTTGGGCTAACGAAAACTATGATTTCAATCACCAATAAGTAAGTATGAGCTTAGAAAAGTGATCATAAAACCCGTGAATGTACTTAATCAAATTCGCCTTTTTTAAGTGTCATACTTTTCAAGTCAAATCAAGTTTAGCCAACTTATTTACCAAAATAAGTTAAAATATAAAAGTCCTAAAAAATGTTCAATTCAAAATATTACGACCATGGCAAAGAACTGAACAAGAAATCCATGGAAGTGTATGAAATAAGTTGCCTTAAGAACAAGGCAACTAAATTTTTTTTTTTCCAGTTTTTTTTTTTTTTTATATATATGTATAACTCAAAAAAAACACATATAACAAACATATTCCTCTACCCCCAAGCTTAAATAATGTCATGTCCTCATTACAAAATAAATTAACAGTAAAAGGAGATAAAGGAGCTTCCCTGATTTTTTCCGATTCTAGCCTCATTTCCTTTTTCTTGGCTTCTCAAAGTTTCTCTCATATAACAAAGACAAGATTATAGCAAAGAAATGTTCTTTTTTATGATAGGAGAAACCTTTCATTGTCTAAATCATGGAATATTTTTTTTCATTATGGCAAAATATATTAATACATACTACATACACATCTATATATATAATATAATACAAACATGCAATTATTATTATTTTTCAACTTTTTTTTTTATAAGAAGAAAAACTAATTTAATTATATATATATTTACTAAAAAGGAAATATTATATGTTACTACTAATAATTACTTAAAAGATTAAAGAGAGGGGAAGAAAATAGTTCTGAGTTTAACGTCGCCAGCTCGACTTATTTTAAAAATTAGGCAAAAAGGATTGTTGAAGCCTGTTTGTCGAAGAATCTGCTGATATATGGCTTCAAACGATGACCGTTTACTTTGAATTTGTCTCCCCCATCTGCATGTTGTACTTCAATGGCACCATAGGAGGTCACTCCTGTTACTATATATGGTCCTGTCCAGCGTGACTTAAACTTTCCTGGGAATAATCTCAATCGGCTATTGTACAGCAGAACATGATCTCCCACTTTAAAATCTTTATAGCGGATGAGCTTGTCATGCCACTTTTTTGTCTTTTCCTTGTACAATTTAGCATTTTCGTATGCTGTAAGTTTGAACTCTTCCAACTCATCAAGCTGCAATAGACAATTTTTACCTGCATCTGGTAAGTTTAGATTCAACAATTTTATAGCCCAATATGCTTTATGCTCTAACTCTACAGGTAAATGACAAGCTTTCCCAAAACCTAGTCTATAAGGAGATGTGCCTATGGGAGTTTTAGAAGCAGTTCTGTATGCCCATAACGCATCATCCAAATTTTAAAGACCAATCTTTTACGAGTAAAGAACCAACAGTTTT